TGGCCTCAGCATCAGAGTATTGTATTACTGCTGCACCTCCATAGCTGACCTCCTTTGCATTCTTAGCATCTCATAAAAGACTAGGCACAGAGTAAGTGCAACAGATCTTAGTACATACAACGAATCTCTCCCTAAGGGGCTCTTTATTTCAACTATTATGTATAGTCTTGAAGAAGTCCTTGGGCCAAGCAGTGAAAGGCAACACAGATATGTAGGTGCCTAAGACCCATCCCTGCTCGTAAGAAGTTCACAGTGTGCCAGGACGCTCGGGTAAGTCAATCAAGCAATGCTGCTACCACAGGGAGAGCAGAGAGGCCTCTGAGAAACCAAGAAAAGATGCTCTACTTGGTTTTCAGGGAATTTGGCCTGATAAGGGGCTGCCAATCAGGGCAGCTAGCCAGAGATCCAGTCTGCAAGAGTCACTGCAATAAATTAGAATTCAAGAAAAAATATAAATGTCTCTCTCTTGTAAGAAGGCCCTGTGGGTAGAAATGAAAAATTACAAACGACAATAAGACAAGTAGAAAAGTCCTTTCTATATGCGTCCTAACCTTATTCAATAAATATTGAGCTGATATTTAAATAGTATCCATTTGAAAGGGTGTGCATTATTATTTAGCTCCAGGGTAACTGCATATGTCACTCCTGACCCTGTGGGGCTCAAAGACTTGCTGAAGGAGGTGATTCCTGCACTGAGGCTTGAATGTGAAACAGACATCGGAGCTAAAGGGCCAGACAAATGGGGATCATTTTGAATACAGGGTAGGAGAAAAAGGAAGACCTAGGAAACAATTGTCAAAACTATAGGAGCTGAAGCCAAGGATTCTAACCAGGAAGAGGGATGTAGCTAGGAATGCAGATGAAAAAGCCAAACTAGGAAGAACTTCCTTAGCCATGTTCATTAAAGAACTTCATTTAACAATTACTGAGTACCTACTGTGTGCCAGTTCTAGGTCCTAGAAACAGAGTGGTGAACGAATCATTCAATTTAGTAATTGGATAATTAAATGAAATGACTTCATACCAATTAGACTAATTATGACCATGGTTGACTGACTGCTTAATTAACTATACCAGCCCTTGTGCATGTATAATTTCATTCAGTCCTCACAATGGTGCTACTATTACTTCCAATTCTACATGAAGAATAAAACAAAACACAGAGACTTGGAGAAATTAAGTCACTTGCCCAAGACCACAGTGCTAGAATTGACCAGAGGCCAGCAATGACATCAGATCTGTCTTGTCTGGAACTAGAGCCACACCACTTGGGTTTGAATCCTGATGCCTCCTTTTACCAACTGTGTAAATCACTGAGCCACCCTGTGCTTGGTTTTCTTAATAGTAAAACGGGAATCACAAAAGAACCTCCCTTAATCCTTTTGAGCATCAGGTTCTTTAGAGGAGCAACCATGGTCCCAGGCATCCAGGAACAACACTCAGAAATACACCCATTGCAAGTTATGAATTGTAGAGATTTTATGAGAATTAAATGAGCTAATGTACACAAAGCACTTAAAACAGTCATGGCTTATAGGAAGCACTTAATAAATGTTAGTTTCTATTATCAATCTTGTTGCAAACAGATTTATTAAACCTGTTCCTACCCAGGAAACTCTTAGAAAGGTCACAGAGCTCTGAGCAAGCTGGGAGGGTGCCCTTGAGCATTTGTTTTGTTTTCCCTACTTAATTCAACATGCTCTGACCTACTCTCTCACAAGTACCTGCTGATGACTTTCATTGTTTAGAGTACTTCCAACATGTGTGGGGAACTTCTCATTTGCATTGTTAATAGACAATTTTCAAGACATGTTGGTTTTTGGAAACCTGGGTTTTCTTTTCTTTTTCGTCCTATTAATCGACATTTGGATGGGTTATATCAGCTCACAACACATTCACTCCCATCCAATCTTATTCAAGATTTTCACAGACCTTTCATGGTAAAGAAGGTTAGTTCATCCTGTCTCACAGATCAAACACCAAGAAGTCCAGGTATCAGGTCACTGAGAAAAAGGGGGTGACTGTCATTAGGATCATTCTTTGTAGTAATTTTATTTAACGAACACATACAGTGCTAACTCTGTTGCAGACACTGTTCCACAGTACCTTACAGATGGTAATGTAAAGTGTAACCTAAGTAATCCTCAGGACACCCACTCTTTAGAAATAACCACCATGCCACCCACTAGTCTGGTCTAGTCTTTTAGGATTATGCCAAAGAAGAAAACCAGTATTTTCTAACAAGAGTTTAAGTAGAAATAATCATGTGTTTTCATGCAGTTAACATTTGAAAAGATTACTAGAAAATATTAGATGAACATTCTGGTCTGAATAATCCCTAAATGATCACTGACTTAAGCGGCTTCAACAGGCATACCAATGTCAAAAGAAGTAAAAAAAAAAAAAAAAAAAGAAGTAGAAAAATACTATTATCCTTTTTATTTTCTCTTAGATTTTGCCATGGGGTGTGTGGGCTTTCTGAAGAGTGACAGAGAAAGACAGAGAGAGGGAAAGTAAGAAACTGCACCCCCCATGGGGGGAGTGGGTGGGGGATAGTCATACCACAACCCCTTCTCCATTCTCCTCTTAGAATTTTGTGCCTGCATGCACATACACCCAGCATGTTTTCAAAGCTTCTGAGTTCAGAACTTGAATCACAGTCAGCCCTGTGGGAATCCAGCGCCTAACCAGCATGCCATCTGCTGGCTCTATTATTCTTATTTTACAGATGAGGAAACAGCCACTGAGACCCTAAGTAACTTGCTCAAGGTCGTTCTCAAGGAGGCAGTGAGCTAAGTTACCAGCTATATGACCTTGAACTTGTTAGCCTTGACAGAGTAATGAATACAAAGGGCTTTGCACTCTTCACAACCATGGAGACCAGCATGATTAAACTTTTATGTGTCAGGAGACTAGAGATCAGGAGTCTCAAGAGACTTGCCTAATGCCTACGAGACAGGTACAGCTAGGATCAGAATCCATGTTTACTGAATCTACAGTTCCCTTAGTGTGCAACGGATGGAAGGTGGTGATAGTTTCTGATGTCAAAATCCATTATTGCCGTGGCTGCTGCTGGTACTGTCGCTATTTGTCACAGAAGAACACCCCCACCCAAGTACAGAGAGAAAAAAAAATAACAATGATAAGAGCACAGCTGATTCTGTATGCCAGCCTGCAAATCTAAGTCCATGCATAATTTACTCAACAGTGCCCTGCAGTCACTTAAGCTGAGGAGAGACCGCTATAAATTCAGGTCTGCATGCCCTAATTTATTTCTTATTTATTTTGCTGATTCATATCTAGGGCCTCCAGCTAGCTGCTCCAACACCTGCTTGAAGGCACCTGCAGCCTCAGGTAGAACTGGAGCAGAAAAGGAGATCTGGAAATAAGCCCTGGAAGGAAAACTGGACCCCTCATCCTAGAATCATGCAAGTTAAATTAATTTTCTGGCCAACTAGGATTAAATCCTTGCACATTCCCATCCCCTTTTGTGTGATCCGTAGGACTAAAAGGGTTGTTAAATGTCTTATTCTGCTTTTCTACCCTGGTAAATAAAACATCGACATACTTCTCACACAAGCACTAGATTATTTTTCTGAGCCACGGAATGTCAAAAGATAAGCAAGTTTTCTAATACGAAGACATAATCAGAAAGGGAATGAAGACGAGAACAGAAAAAGCTGCTATTTTCTTGAGTGATTACTGAGGACCAAATGCTACGCTCGATGCTGTGCAATGCATGGCAGAGTTAATTCCCATGGCAATTCTCTATATGGAAATCAAAGTAAGACAGAAGAAAGTTTGCTGTGGGAATCCAGAGATCTCATTTCACAGATGATCAGACTGCAGCCCAGAGAGAGACAGTGACTTGTCCCAGGTCACTCAGCATGTTGATGGCAACATGTCCTCCCAGACCCCCCCTCTGGTAAGCCTTACATTAATTTTTTTTTTCCCAACATATTTCTTCGAGAGAGAGAGAGAGGCTGAAAGAAAGAGAGAGAGGTACCCCCCCAACCAGTGTCTTCATACCAGATCCAAACCCAGCCTCAGCCAGCCAGCATCAGGGGGATGTGAACCTAGGATCTTCCCACATAGGTCCAGTACTTCAGAGCACCCTGTCACTGTTGCACCCCTGACTGCGCCCCTCATACTGATTTTTAAATTCGGTTTGAGCCCTTGATGGGCAGGAAGCTGAGCTACTAAGTTTGCCTGCATTGTTTCCTTTACGCTCCCTCCCACCAATTAAGCGTCCCACAGATACGGGCATTGGGGCCCTGAGAGGCTAAATGCTGAACCCACACTGTTGAATTCCTGCAGAAACCACATCAAAGCTGGGGCTATGCTTGTGTGCGGCACATCTTGGTGTCCTGGTGCCCACCTTCGGGAGACCTGATTTTGTCTCCACACTGTACACACCAGGGCTGCAGGAGTAGCTGCAAAGCTGCAGGAGGGTTCAGCAGGACAAAATCCTGCTTCTAGGATGCTGCCAGCACATGGTTTCTACTTTCTGTATTTACTGGAGAATTTCCAATCATGCTTCTCTCATTCTTCACTCATTCTTCTTTCTTATTTTATTTATTTTTGAGAGAGAGATTTTTGCTATAGGGTGCATGCACTCTCTGGAGAGACAGAGACAGAAAGAGAGATAGTGAGAAATCATCCCCTCGGCAGAGGGCCACAATCTCTTCTCCTCCACTCTCCTCTCAGGATTTTGAGGATGCACACACTCGCACCCAGGGTGAGTTTTAAGGCTCTGGATCTGGGACTTGAACCATGGTTGACTATGTGGAAGCTCAGCAATGTCACCATTATGCCATCTGCTGGTCCCCATTCAGTCTTATTTCTAATACCCAGCAGAAGGTCATCATTCTCTTGGCTCTCGGGCTGAAGCAGGAGAGGAACAAAGGCCATTTTGTCGAAGGCCAGGCTGTATCTCCTCACCTGTTTCCCAGGCATCCCTCTCCGCTGTGAGGGAGCTCCTGGACCTTGGGGACACTCACCCGCAGAACATGAAGATGGTGCTGGAGGTGGCATCGTAGGGCAAAGGCAGCGTCTGCTGCAGGCACAGCTGCTCACAGCCGCCGTTAAAGCCATCGGAGCAATCGATGCCTTTGGAGTGGTCGTAGCAGCCGGAGCCATCCTTCATGGGTTTCAGCTCCTCGGGGCACTGCTCGGAGAAAGGGCGACAGGGTGGTTATGGCTGAGGAGGTGCGGGCCTGTCATGCATTGCCCTCCCACCTTCTGAAAGAGACATGTGTTGGGTATCAACTGAGGTGGGTTCAGTGTCTCTGCTGCCAATTAATAGCTGTGTGGCCTGTGACAAGTCCCTTTACCTTTCTGAACCCCAGTGTGTCCACCTGTATAATGAGACTTTGGTGACTATCTGCCTCATAGTTGTGAGAATGAAGAGAAGTAATGAGGCCCAGAACTGAGAACACTGGGACTCCCATAGCAGCCATGTTTGCTACTTTTCATAGTGTCTTAGCTGATATCATCTTTGGGACTGGTCTTATTGTTACAGAGGGGCTTTGAAAATTTGTGGGAAATGAGTCTTTATGCATGGATTTAAGAATGTTTTGCACCAAAATAAATTTATACTACAATTCCATTTGTTCCACAGATTTTTTAGTTTTTTTTTTTTTTTGGAGAGGTTTTTGCTATAGGGCGCATGCGCTTGCCAGACAGACAGAGAGAGACATAGAGACAGAAAGCGAGAAATCACCCCCCAGGGGGGATGGTCACGCCGCAATCCCTTCTCCTCCATTCTCCTCTCGAGATCTTGGGCACGCACGCACACGCGCCCAGCTTGAGATTTAAGCTACCGGGTCCGGGACGCGAACCATGGTCGACTACGTGGGAGTCCAGCGACATAGCCATTATGCTAACTGCTGGTTCCCTGTGCCACAGATTTTTTGAAGTTTCCTCAAATTGTCTGATAGGGTCGACTTCTGTTAAGGTCATTTAGGAGCCCGCCAGATGTATTTTGGAGAGTAGCTGCCAAGATGAATTTGAACTCTAAGTCTTTCTCTTCTTACTGAGTGACCAGGGGCACATTGCTCATCTTCTCTGAGTCTTGATGCCCTCCTTTATTAAATAAACCCAACACATATGCCTAGAGATTTGTTGTGAAGTTTAAATTAGATCACGGGGTGGGGGAGCTCTCTGCAGAGTTGGACTCCTTTGGTACTCACAGAACTTGAACCATCTTCCTTCCTGCCTTGAATTGACCTCTTCTTCTCCACCCTTGTCCCTTGAGCCCTGAATGAGATTCCTGGCCTGCCAGCGCCGCCCCCCCCCACCCCGCCCCCGCCCAGCGCCGCCCCCCCCCCCCCCGCCCCACATGGCTATCTGACCTCCAGTCTGGTTTCCTCTAACTCATCTTCCAAATGGCTGCCAGACTGGGGTTTCTTAATAGCATCATTTCCCTGCATAAATAAATGAATAATTTTTTTAAAAACTCAAATCTCCCTTAAGCTACTAAGCATGTCCTCTACAGGTGATTTCACACCCACATGTCAGTTATGTACACATTCCTCCGTGTAACCTCCAGGTTCCTAATAGACCCTAAAGAGTTCCACCTTCAATGACCTCAGCTGGGCTGTGCTTGTCAGTTTGTCTGGCACCTGCTAAGTGTCCCATGAATGGAGGATCTTATACTGACGAATAAGTGGCTATTTACGTAATGTCATTTTCCATCGTTTGATGAGGCTGAGCTCATCTTCAGCCCAGCTGACGGAGAGCGGCTCGAACACTCCTGCTTTCAGAAGAGAAAATGAGGTACCAGGTTTTAATTTCAGTTATCCTACTGGCATTTCCTGCCCCTGAAGATGAACACCCAGAGCCCAGCCCCCCTCATCCATCACTGGACATCACTGATTAAAATGCCCTCTCACTATAACCCCTCCCAACACAGCCAGCTCCCCCGCCTCCTCCCAAAGCCGAAGCCGTCATCCTGAACACCAATATCAAAGTGCACACTCAAAAATTAATTTACAAAAACCACAATAACAGCAACAACAAAAAAAGGTCAGTCTTCTTGGAAATTAAATTTTGTCTAAGAAGAATTTGTAATTACAAACGCACGAGAGAGTTCTTCGAGATATTGGTGACTGGTGCCAGGAAGGGTGACGGAGAAAGTCGGTTATAAATGGCCTTTGTCAAGTTGCAGAAAGGTTATAAAAGTGCTACATTTTGTGCTTAAAAAGAAAAATCAATTTTCCATGTGAGTGAAGTGCCATACATTTTATTAATAATAGAAGCCCAGAGGAGGCTCCTGCTTGTCTTTGAACATTCACTGGGAGCTAGGAGAGCACCTGGTACCTGGTTCACTTAGGGACATCTGCTGGTGCTGGGGGCTGAGTCTGCTGTCTACAGACACTCAGTGACTAGCAGTGGAAAGGCCAATCTCTCACCAGGAACATGAGATAGCTGGACAAGGCATAAATGCTTTCCACCCTCACTGATTCCCTACCACTTCTGTCCTTTAATAGAGTGTCCACTAAGCTGGTCTCATGGCCTGGTTACTAAGAGAGCTGGACCCCAACCACAGACCACACAGTTCAAGTCCTGGTTCTGGCAGCTGGAAAAGCATACCAGGTATGAGTATGTGTGTGCCCCAAATCTTGATAGGATGAAGAAGGGATTGTGGTGTGACCATGTCCCATGGGGAGGTGCTCTCTTTCTCTTCCTCACTCTGTTTCACTCTCGTGAACATATATGCCCTCTGGAAAAAAAAAAAAAAAAAAAAAAGGTATTCACTATAATCCAGGTATTATTTAAGTATTTTACCTCTTCATACTCTTTTAAGAGAAAAAATAAATAAATTTAAAAAAAATAAAAATGGAGTAGTGTGCTAGACTGATAATGGCTTCCAAAGAAAGATATTTCCCTTTCCTAAATTCCAGAAAATTTGAATCTTACCTTTTACGGTAAAGTTTTTGCAGAAATGCTTTTTCAAGAACCAGGTTTTAACTTTAATTTCAATTATCCTGTTGGCATTTCCTGTCCTCAAAGTTTAACACTCAGAGCCCAGCCCTAATCACCTATCACTGGAGATAGAAAAAAGTGACTAATTCCCATTCCAGGCATCCTCTGTTTCCTGTTACCTAACTTAAAGCTCTTAAGAAGACGATCCTGGATTTTCCAGGTTGGCCTAAATGTCAGCACAAATGTCCTTATAGGAGAAGCAGCAAGAAAGTACATACACAGAAGAGGACCCAGTGAGATAGAGCTGAGATCAGAGCAATGTGCCCACAAACCAGAAAGCGGTGTAGCCCTCAGAAACCAGAAGATCCAAGGTGCAGATGATACTCCTTAATCACCAGAGGGAGCACGACCCGGCCAACATCTTAGTTTGCACTTTGGGCCTACAAAGAGTGTGAGAATGTATTTCTGTTGCCTACAGCTAGCCTTCCTGGTAATTATAATAGCCAGAGGAAACTCATACAGATATTACTCCCACATGACAGAGGAGGAAAGTGAGGGGAGAGTTACTGGACTTGGTGGTGGCAGGGACTGGGAGTTTCATGCTTTCTGATTCTAATTTTATTGTTTGTTTGTTTTTGAGAGATTTTTTTGCTATAGGGCATGGGTGCTCACTGGAGAGACAAGGAGACAGAAAGCAAGAAATCACCACCCAGAGGAATGGCCATACCACAATCCCTTCTCCTCTAGGTTCCTCTCAGGATTTTGAGCATGCACGTACATGTACCCTTTGTGAGTTTCAAGCTGCTGGATGCAGGACTTGAACTGCAGTCAACTATGTGGGAATCCAGCAACCTAACCATTATGCCATCTGTTGGTCCCCTGACTCTAGTTCTTAACTTATTGACTGGCGATATCCAGTCTTAGGAAGTAGGAGCAAGGAAGGGCTTAGAGCTGACCTAAGCTCCTTACTTTAGGAGTGGAAGAACATCACCCCAAATCCCTCAGTACATGAGTAGAGGACACAGAGCCAGGCCTCCTAGTCCTAGCCCGATGCTCTCTACCTATTGCACTCACTACCCTTAGGCTGAAACATGTTATAGCTGAAGAGAAACTTACAGATCATTTAGCCTCTTTCCTTTAGATATTTATAGTAAGGAAACTAAGGCTGAGAAAGGTGAAGGGACTTGATTAATATTACACAACACATTAAAGGGAGAGATGGAATTATACCTTGATTTTTTTTTTTTAGAGGTTTTTCACTATAGGGCGTGTGCGCTCACCAACAGACAGAGAGAGACATAGAGACAGAAAGCGAGAAATCACCCCCCAGGGGGGATGGTCACGCCGCAATCCCTTCTCCTCCATTCTCCTCTCGGGACCTTGGGCACGCACGCACACACGCCTGGCATGAGTTTTAAGCCACCGGGTCCGGGAGGTGAACCGTGGTCGACTACGTGGGAGTCGAGCGACATAGCCATTACACTAACTGCTGGTTCCCGAATTATACCTTGATTTTTTTTATTTATTTATTTTTTATTTTTATTATCATCATAATCTTCTTTATATTACATTGGATTACATATAACTTTACAGTGTATTACATTGTTTTTTCAAAAGGGAATGCCATGCGTGTCAGTCAGTACAGAGACATTAATCTCCCCACTTCAACATTCCATATCTTTTCTGTTTTCCCCAATCATTATTTTTATTATTCTAATTATTTTTATAAAAAACAGTCAATTGCTATTTCTCATTTCTTGTAAAAATACTTTGCCCATCATGAAATACTTCTCAGACCAATCCAGTTGAGAATACTATACATGTCATCATCAACAGTTAATAAGCCCTATCTGTTTCTCACTAACGTCCTGTCTCTCTATTGTTCACTTGCTATCTTTCTCTATCCTCTTCTCTTCACTTACCCCATTCCACACTGTCCTATTCTCATTAAGTACCTTCACTGTGTTTATGTCCTCCGAATTTTTGCTCTCTATTATAGAGTGCGGATAGTCGGTATATATTGAGTGGATACATACAATATCTTTCTTTCATAGCCTGGCTTACTTCACTCAGCAATAGATCCTCCATATCTGACCATTTTCTATCAAATTCCAGGGTCTTGTTATTTTTTATGGCTGAGTAGTATTCCATAGAGTATATATACCACACTTTTCCAATCCATTCATCAGTTTGTGGACATTTAGGTTGGTTCCATGTCTTGGCAATTGTGAATAATGCTGC